CTTCTTCTTCTTCGGAATTGCTTCCTGGAACTCGGATATTCTCCTCTATTGGGCAGTTAAAATAATTGCCCTCAACGGCAAGGGAGACCAGGACTGCTATTTCCGGCTTATTAGTCGTCATCGGTCAGCCATGCCAACTCCAGGGGTTCAATGCAAACACGTGACATGCTGACTGGCTGTTCCATTGTTGCTTGTCCTTGTTGACAATATTCATCTACCTATAAAAGTGACCGCTGAGCAGCTGCTCGTCAGGCTCGAGAGCAAGTCTCAAGATAGAACCAGCAATTTGCGTATCATAGCATCTCGACGAGGCTTCCCTCCGCTAAAGTATGACTACATTTTTTTTTATTTTTTGTCCCAAATTGAAATTTAAGTGAGAGCTTAATCACCTTCAACATCTCCAGTTGGTTTAATTCTTTTAGTTCCGCAACCTATTCCATCTATCCTCAAAATACTTATTTGGTATTTGGGTAAAATTTGGATCTTATTCTCAATTTAAGCGGTTTCGTTTATAAAGGTTTTTGGGAGAAGCTACCTGGATTGTTTAAATATCCGCCAAATATTATTTACCTATGCAAAAACAAGCTCTTTTTCAATTAAAATTCACAAGTGAAAACACTAATCTTCAACAGAATGGTCTACTTATCTACAGGATATTGAAAGGCAGAAGAATTTCTAGGATGCTGTCTTTTCGGTTCCGCTAAAGTACTTTCTAAATCATAGTATAATTGTTCAAATTGGTTGAAATGGCTGACCCCACCCGAACAGGATTGGTGTATCTCAGATATGCGTTCCACTTATCAGTTTTAGGTATCTAAATGTTTGCAAAACGTTTGGAGCTGCGATTGGATGAAAAATGACAACATTTTTCTTTTTTCAAACTGCTTTTTGGCACAAAAATGCAGTTCTCTTGATTGGTGACTTTTACATATCGAGACATGCAAACGTCTTCTGTCTCTTCTTTCACTGCATAATGGGAACTTGTGTGCGATCCAAAATAAATGTAGCTTCCAGTAAATAAACAAGGACCACCATCAATCAGAATCACTGAAATTCTCCGCAAAATTTGGTTCTAATTACCCTAATGTAGGTCTAATTGGAAAAATCCTGAAGGTCAATTTTAAAATGATTTTCTTTACTGCTTGCAAATTGACTGGAGTCACCATCGATAAAGTCTGCATCATGCATGATGCGCCAAAC